CAGACAGAGTGAGAATAGGAGCTGCACCATGATGCATTCCTGTGAACGTGGCAAACAGACTGAGAGCTGGAGCATGTCTCTGGCAGCAGCATATTGAGACTCAGATCCTAAGCCCTGTTCTCCTGTACCAGGGCAAGCTTTGCTTTGGATAATAATATTGGCAACTTGTAACATGTTCTGTGGGGACTTTCCAAAGCTGCAGATGAAAAGTCTCTCCAACAAAGTGATCCTAAGACTTGCAAATACGCAGGCTTTCCGTTGTTAAATATTTAACGCTTACATTATAATATGTTGAAGTTATGTGTAATGAACTTACATTGATTTCCACGTATAAAGGAGCAAAATCCATGGAAGCTAACAGAAGCATATTCAATCCAGAAGGGTTCTGCAGGCCATGAGAGGAAAAATTGGTAGTGTTTTCAATATAGTATCTAGAAGAAAAGTAAGTGCTGTTGTGCTGCATCATGTGGAGAGAAGGTATTGGAACTGCAGGGAGTTGTGTACAAGACTGTCTATGCTGCAAGAAAATGTGAGCCAAAATTTTTGTGGTTTTGTATATTTTTTCTTTAAGTTTAGTTCTTCCTAAAGATTTACTAACATGGTTTCAACAGTTTTTTCCTGGGTAGTTTAAACCAAGCTTATCTGGGCAATGTTATATCCTAAAGAATCTTTGGGGACTATAGATCATATATTGGTTAAAACCGAAAAAGTGGATTAAAATAGGTTAGAAACCAAATGAAAACATTTGAGAGTTCATTGAAGTGGACAAAGGTTGGAGCAAGGCAGCAATCCCAGTGCATATTTAAAAATTGGACCATCAGTCCTCAGTATTTGTTTTTCCATAATAGTTAATCTTCTGCCACATATCTCAAAACAAAAGAAATGAGGATCAAGGAAACAATACTAAAGTTTTGCCATTCATTTAGTGGCCCTCACAGTACTACAGACTGCAGTCACTGTACATCATCTCTGGCACAAAGCCGGCTCAGCTATCAGCAGGTCAAGCTCTAGTGGAGTTTTCTTTTACATCAGTTTTATCTCTTCCATTTCATCGTGACTTTTATGTTTTAGAACAAATCACTCAATCTTTAGCTTCCCAAGCATTCTTTTGGATCAAAGGATAAATTTTATGCATTGCAAGGTTCTGTGCTGGAGGTAGATATGAAAGAAGTTGAAACAGACATTTGTGTCTAGAATTATTCATATAACTTGCATGAATACCTTTAAGAGTGCTTGATTGAATTCTCTAACTTCTGACTGAGGCCTGAGACAGGTTTAGTTTCAGACTCCTGATACATAAACAAAACAGGTTGCATTTTCGCAGACCAGATGGACTATCTAGTTCTACGTCCTGCTCAGACAGTGGCCCATGGAAGATTATGTGGGAAGAGCATTAGGTAATGTGATACTTCCCCGGTACTCTCTGGGGCTCAGTAATAGATGATTTTCTGGCCAGGAGATGGTATCTTTGTATATAAAGAGTGTTAGTGGCTCTTGCTTCTGTGGTTTGTCTAATAATTTTTGAACCCCTGTAAACTTTTGGTGCCCTTAGCATCCCTAGTAAGAAGGTATCCACAGTTAAATTATGTGTTATGGAAAAGAAACCAGTTCCTTTTGTTTTTTTGAACTGCCCACCTGATGACTTCACTTTTTTTCCTGTGTCTTGTATCCTAAGAAGTAGTTGTTCTCTATTCTCCCTCTACCTGAAGCTCATGACTTTATAGATATTTTTCATATTTCCTTTGTTATCCTTTTTCCAAGCTGAAGAGTCCTTATTTATTTAGTCATTCCTCAATATATAAGCTGTTCCATACCTTTGATCATCTCTACAGCATTTCTTTGTACTTTTTTTCAGTTCTACTGTATGCTTTTTTGAGAAGGGAGAAGGGACAGGGGTTAGAACTATCCTCAGCATGCAAGAGATGGATGCCATTTTGGTTTATATGGTAGAATAGTAGTGTTCTTGGTTTTGTTCCCTGTGCCTTTCCTAATAATTCCTAACACCGAGTTTGCTTTTTGAGAGTATTTTAGTGATGTTTTCGTAGAATAATCTATTATAGCTGTAGCTATAAGGTCTCATTCCTGAATAGAAATAATTAGATCAACGTCCATCACTGCATAAAGCTGGGATTGTGTTTCCCTGGGTACATGACTTTGTAGTTATTAAATTGAATGTCATCTACCAATTTAATGTCTGCTCATTCAGCAATGTGGCTTTTTCCACACTTCTCGGTCACTTTCAGTTTTTCAGCAGCAAACTTTTTTATTTCAGGTTTGTTTTTTTTTTTTACCCAGATCACTTATAATTGTTTTGAACAGCAGAGACCGCAGCACAGATTCTTGTGGGACCCCAGTGGTAATCTCCTTCCATTGTGGAAACTGTCCGTTTATTCTAGCTCTGATTTCATGTGTGTTAACTAGTTACGAAATGTGTGAGAGGTAACCCCCTTTATCCTATGTTGGTTATTTTATTTAGGAGCATTTTGAATGAACTTACCAAATTTCTCAGTTGAGAAATTCCTGGCGTGAAAAAGTTACTCTAGGCAAATGGACAAATACAATTGTTTAGTTCAAAACAGAGGTATTGAAGATCACAGTCTTTCAGTAGTACTGATAAGGAATTAATCGGGCTGTTTACTGAGCACTAACATGACTTTGACAGAGCTCCTGAATGCTCTTCAGCTTTCTATCTAGTGCAGTTGATGTTTGTTTCGGGGACTGATCTGCAGTAACCTCCAGCTGTCTGGATGTATCCCAGTCCCAGCAGAGTCCTTTGTGCTTTTCAACAGTCAACTGACCTTGCTGGGGGGTAACAGACTCCAGCTCCAGCTGCTTCACACAAGGAAAAAGTCCAATGAGCTCTAACATCAGAATAGATGGTGGAGTCTGTGTCTAGGCAGTGAAAGGAGCAGATATTACCCTTGGGATGGGAGTTGAGTCCAGGTGACAGCAACTTGCTGATAACCCATGTGGTGAGCTAGTGGGATTGGAGAGGAGAGTGCTGTGGCTCATTTCAAAGATTCCTTGTACCTTCATGTGTCCTCCTTTGAGTTAAGCTTTTTGTGGTCTCCTGTGCCCAGCTGGGGACAGTGCTGGGAGGCCAGCAGCACACATATATCCATGGATCCGGAGCAGAGCAACTGCAGGTAATGCCACAATAGTAGAGTATCATGACCCTATTACTGAGGCAGAAGAGGGAAGGCAGGTTCAGAAAAGGGAAGCAGCTCTCCCAAAGTTAACCACAAAGCCAGATTGGGACCTATACAACTTGGGATTCAAGGCCCGCGTACTGCCAGCAACGTTGCAGCAATCACTTTTCCAAGCACTGGTGAAAGGAAAAGAACTGAAAGACTGAAAATCTTGTAGCAAAAGGGAGTATGGAGTGAGAATAATTTACCCAGCGTTGCACTAAGGTACAATGGAAGCAAAGGACTGAGGAAGCATGGGTGGGATCCCTTGAACAGAGAAGTCTAGAGAAGGCTACCTACAGCTAATGGCCCATAAGAGCAAAAGTGGTAGTGGTGCTCCAAGCAAGAGGAAGCCCAGAGGACACAGGGTGGAGATGCTGGCAGCTGAACTCCTTTTCCACTGGGTTGCCTTGCTCTCTGTTGCTGAGGGGCTGATTATGGAGAGTGACCCTTTAGTGTTTAGAGTCCTTGTGCTCAATTTGCTTTGAAATGGGTGTGTTAGTTTATTTTTGAGGGAGAGTGCCTAGGGCTGGCAGTTGCTTCTGGTCTTGTTTGAAACATCCTTCTGAGTATTTTAAGGTTTTACTGTGATGATGAAGCTTGTGGGGAAAGGTGCAACACATTCAAGGGAAGCTGTGACATGTTCAAAGAGTCTAGGTCATAAGTTTTGATAGGATCCTGAAGCAGGGATATTGCCAAAACCATGACCTACGCTCTGAATCATGGCATGAAATGTAGAAGACACCAAGTATCTTTTACATCCTAGTTACTTATGACATGCATAGGAAGTACAAATGAAGTCTGCCCTGGGAATCAAAGGAAATACTTGCAAAGAGTGGCTGTGAGAAACGTGACAGAGATCAGCAGAAACATGGGAAGCTCAGGCATTGAAGACTGAAGGTTTTATTAGCCAGAGTGTCAGGATTCAGTGGGTCATATGGCATCCTGTCTTGTGAGCACAGGCTGTGTGAGTTGCTGGGCCATTGTAGCCTCTTCAGGACACCTTGTGGTCCTGTCAGTCTGCCACCTGCTCTCTGCAAAGCCCCCCGGCCTTGTGTAGAAGTCTCTCACTGAGGCATAAAAACTTCAAAGCAAGCTAGTGAGCTTCTGTTGGTACTTATCATGTTGCAGGCCACAGCTGAACTCCCGCTGTATAAGCCTGGGTTGTAAGAGCTCCTGCCTCTTTGCAGGAAGCCTTTTCTCCTCTGGGAAAAGCTTGCATTATTCTGATGATAAAAGAAATGAGCCTATCTTCAGTCCCCTTGGGTCCTTTGGGTTGTAACTGTATGGAGTCAATATGTGCCCTAGTTGCAACCTCACCCTACCAGTCCTTTGTCCTCCCTGTGGATATTGTACTGCATGTCTATCTGCTATTCCACTCTCACTGCGGCGTGTGTGTGCTTGGTGTAAGCCTTGTGTTAGTGTATTAACAAAATCTCTACAAATCCAAATAAATAATTATCTCATTAGTGATGGGAATCCTTAGCTCTTCCTGCTGCAACTCTGCCTCTCTTCAATGCTAATCAGCCACAGACATCCTCCAGTTCAGACTTTTCCCTTCTCTTTTCCTTTGTTCTCCTCAAGCATGGTGTTACAGCTAGTAATATAGTCCCAGTCTGGAATTCCAGAAACTCCTTAGCAAGATGGCAGTTGGCTCATGGCACCTCTAGCAGGTTTTGTGCTTGTTGGAGCTGCTTAATACAAATTCATAGCTGGCTAAGTATTAAGTGATTTTTAGGAAGCAGCAGTGTCTTGTAAGCAGGAGTCCTTTTATGCAGAGTGGTGAAAGCGTGATGGCTTTTCTTTTCTCAGAGCTCCAGAGAATCATCGTTTTGCCTGGGAAGGAGAGATGGAGAACGGTGTCTTCAACAAGGTGACACAGAATCTGCTGGTACATCCCAACTGTCAGGTCCATTTTGCTGTGCAGCAACTTCAGCAGCAGAAACTTCAGTCGCAACAGCTGTTGGAGCAAAGCCAAGCTCGACACCAGGTAAATAAGAAAAAATCTTGCCTGGGATGTAGCAGTGCTGACTGAGTCTTAGATGTACAGAACCAACTTAGTTCATATGGCGCAGCTTTTGTGAAGGAAGTAGCTCTTCAAGTGGGTTGCAACAAAACTGATATTACCTGAAGTGATTTTGATAGCATTTTGATACTGTAGTTCCCAATGGCTTCTTCCACTGCACTGGCATCCTCCTCTATTTGGCTACTGGCATACTGCTGCTTGCTTTTCTTCACCAGTTCAGGGCATCCCCTTATAGTGCCTCAGACAGCCTTAGAACTGTCTACGGTCTCCACAGTTCTTTGTCACTTAATTTCATCACTGATCATATGTTCCTACTTTGAGTTGAGTTCTTCTTGGGTAGTGCTTCAGGCTGGGTTGCTGTTGTATTTCAATGTTTCTAAACATAGTGTCTTGAAATTGTGTTGGCAACTGTGTCCTCTGTGGCAAACAGACCCCATCAAGGCTTCATGTTGACTAAATTCTCCTGGTTATTTTCTTATATGATGCAGTTATCAAAAGAGCAGTATGTTAAGGGGACTAAAAAAATCAGGAGAATCTTCATTCTTTTGAAGAAATGTATTCATTTCTTTTAAGAGCCTTCACTGTGCAGGAGGCATGGCCACTGGCCCTGATGTCACATGCAAGTTTTTTTCCGCAACCCTGAAAACTTTCTCCAGGCCTCCTACACGTTTTGTAATTGCCATATTTAAGATCTCCTTTCACTGCTTTGCATGGAACTGTCTGACAAATACATGACTCCCTTGCTACAATTGCAAGGAGAAAAGATGGGCTAGGTGTCCAACAGCTAGAGGAAATATGAAAAAGGGTTTGTATTACTGATGTTCTGGATGACACCTAGATGCCAAGGGTGGACCACCGTGTCTGGAACAGTATTTCCATCCTGCCTGGATTACCTTCCAAGGTTGCAAGAGTTCATTGATGCACTCATTACCTTTCTTTGTTATTATGGAGAGAGAGGTGCATTTGTTGGTCTGTGAGCGATGTCCAAAAGGCTTCCCTGCTAAAGGGAAGGAAGTTTCTGGGTGAGCAAACTTTAACTCAGAAGAGATTGGTCTCCATTTGGAAGGAGCTATTTGCTGGGGAGACTAGCAGGACTGGACTCCAGCAAAACCATGAACAGAGCTAATATGTGGAGGTCTGAACACCCACTCTCCCTCCTGTGAAGCAAATGAGTCACTAGTCGGGATCCTTGAGAATAGGTTATGGGCAAATTGCCCTCATTCTTTTCTGGGGGTACCTTGAAGGAGAGGCTTTTCTGCCTTTGCTCCTTGCAATCATTTCAAGGTCCTCACTTAGCCATGCAGTTTCCATCCTCACATTCCCTCACCTACAGTCTTCTTGCTCCCCCTCTGAGCAGAAGGTCGTCTTTTCATCTCCATCCAAGGGGCTCTGGGTGGGCAGCTGTGGCTGCTCATGAGCTCAGGAAAAGGCTGTAAGATGGCTTGTGCCTGTGAGGAGGCTGGAGCTGGCCATGGGGCCTGGCTGAGCCCTCTTCTAATTGCTGGCGTTGAGCTGATGTTATTCTTGGCCTGGGACAGAGCCATTACTCAGGAGTTTCTGTTAAAGTGATTCTTTGTTAAACATCCTCTCACCCCCTCATCGTCCCCCTCCTTTCTCTCCCTCCCTTCTCCGTCTCAGCCAAGCAGTTTGGAGTTGCAGTATTGAGGCCATTGCCGTGCCGCAGGGCTCAGGCTGCACTGAAATTGCCATTAATGAAGAAAGGTATTTGCTGAACATAGGGGCTTTCAGACTTTCTGCAGTAAAACCCACATCTTAATAAAATGATTGTCTCTTGGACACTTCCTCTGCCACGAGACATTGTATGGAGTCAGCCAGACCTCCCCTTCCAGTCACAGTTGCACAGATCCTCTGATGCCTCTTGCAGTTACTGCACTACCCTCATCTTCATCTGTCTATCCCCTGCTCCCTCTGTAGTTTCCTGTCACTAACCTCTTCCTTCTGCTAGTTAACTTCTCAGACTTCAGTCCTTTGACTCAGCCGTCTCAAGGTTTGCCTTCTCTCTTCTACTGCTTTTACACACCCTGCCCTACATCTCCTTCCCACTCATGCTACTTTGACTTCCATCCCACCTTTTCCTGCTGGCCATCATTTTTCCTCTCTTTTTCCCCACAGTTGATGTAGCTTATCCTAGCCTGCATGGCTTTATCACATTTCCTAGTCAGTGTCACCTCAGCCACCCATCTCCAGCTGCCTGCTCTTTCC